TACATGGCGGCGGTCTGTAAATATCCAATCTTGACCTGACAATCCAGTGATCAACAGTATGAACATCAATATACGCAACTAGGATACGAAGACATGTGTCTAACAAGTCAACAAGCCTGAACACACTGATCTGTCATCACACGTTCCCGTTAGTCCCCTCTTACGGCAGCACGGATTGCTGAAGACCAATTCTAGCCCGGATCCTCACAAGTTTAAATATTAAGAAAGATATACATACATCTGACAGCAAGTGTGAAAATATCCTGGCTTCACTACAAATCCACAACTGAGAATGGAGGAAAAACTTGCTACAGTGAATAATTTGCTGGGGTGTATATATAGTATATGATTGGATAGATTTATAAAGATAGCTGACGCATTGATTCTGTTATTTCAAACAAGGAAAACACGGTACAAATGGGTTACAATATTTTCGTTTAACCTATGAATACATACAGAGGATATTCACATAACAATGAGTACATACAGGAAGGCGAGGGGGGAGGGGGGAGCATTCACGTCACAGTGAGTACATACATGGGGTATTGAAATCTCAGTGAATACATACAGTGAGTATTCACGTCACAGTGAGTACATACGGGGAAATACTCACATCACACGACGTACATACATCACAACGAGAGGTACATTCACATTACAGTGAGTACATACAGGGGAATATTCACACATCACATGAAGTACATACAGGGGAATATTCACATCACAGTGACAGGGGTACACATACAGAGAGGTATTCACATCACAGTGAGGGAATACATACAGTGAGAGTATTCACATCATAATGAGTACATACAGTGGGTATTCACATCACAATGAGTACATACAGTGGGTATTCACATCACAGTGAGTACATACAGTGGGTATTCACATCACAGTGAGTACATACAGAGAGTATTCACATCACAGTGAGTACATACAGTGGGTGTTCACATAACAGTGAGTGACTCTTTGTCAGGCTATTTTGAGGATAAAACCGCAAAGATCAAGTATAGGTCTAAACATGAGGATCTGCCTCCAAAGGCAACAAGTGATACCCTTCGTGAAATTGTGGATCTTGTTGTTGGACCCACTTCCTACCAAACAGCTTTTCGTTCATTTGGACATCTTGATGTCGGCCCACGCCGAAGACCCAGGTTCGATTCCCCACATGGGTACAATGTGTGAAGCCCATTTCTGGTGTCGCCCGCCGTGATATTGCTGGAATATTGCTAAAAGCGGTGTAAAACATACTCACTCACTCACTTGCTGCCGGCCATTACTGACATAATAAACACTAGCTTGTCTAGAAGGCAGTTATCAGACCTCTTTTAAAAATTCATTGAGTAATTATAGACATGAATCTAATCTTACTTTTCTTTCAAAGATTTTGGAGAAGGCAGCAACTGTAAGGTTGAGAGAACATCTGGTGAACAACAAACTGCTGGATTACTTTCAGTCTGCCTATCCGAGGCAGCATTATTGCGTTGACAAGGGCCATGTGGCGTCTCTTACATTATTGGATCTCTCAGCGGCGTTTGACACGGTGGATTATCAACAGCTCATTCAACGAGATAAGGACGAGATGAACATTCTTGGTGTTCCTCTTACCTGGATCCAATCCTATCTTGACAGCCGAAGCCAGCATGTTATCACAGGAGACAAACAATCGTGCTGTGCCAATCTTACATGTAGAGTACCACAGGGATGGGTTCTGGGTCCGTTACTCTTTGTGATATATACCAATCAACTTGGTGGATTCATAAAACGACATGATCTTGGTCACCAATCATATTATGCTGATGATACTCAAGTCCTGCATAGTTTTGAACTTTCAGAAGTTGCTAAATCTTCAGAAAACAAGTGTACGAAAAACAATCATGGATGACATGAGGCAAATTGAAACTTAACGATGGGAAAATTGAGGCTGTGTTGGTAGGCTCTTGGCAACAGCTTCAGATGTCAACTGACAAGAATTTAAAACTTGTGATAGGTAACTTTGTTATAGATTTCTCACCCCGAGTAAAAAAACATTGGTGTCTATTTTGACTCAAAGTTGTCCGTGGATTCTCAATTTGACAATTTGTGCAAGACCCGTTTTATCATCTCAGATGTATCAGTTAAATTCATCATCTGATATCACATTCAAATATGGTTGTAGCTGTAGCTGAGTTGTAGAAGTTGCAGCAGCTGTTTTGAAACGATTGCGATTGAAGAGGCAATCATTAAATATATTTAGCTTTTTTCATACAACAAACATATCGGTTTGTATTGAAAGGGCTGTATCTGTGGCTGTACGACCATGATTGTTACAGTATCACGGTGGTAGAATTACTTCCTCGTGGAACTGTTCTCTGTTTCTCTATCAAGCTCGTTATCAGCTACTGATTGCATGGTGTGTTGCACGACGCTCTACACTCAGTAATTGTGTACTGTACATTTCACGAGCAGTACAGTGGGTGAGTGAGTATGGAGAGTACGGACGAACTATTTTGGACTGGGACATTTTAAACTCATATAACAATTAGATTAACACGTGTGAGTGGGTGAAACGCACGGGAGTGACAAACCAGAATTCAAACCCAGTGGGTTGCTCATGTGCAGAGGGAATTGCGGCGCCTTAGCCTACTCGGCCACCTGTGTCGGTGTTGCTCAAACGACATTGTGATAAGTGACTCTGTGATCCGAAAATGTTTGTTGTTATATGTGACTCCATGCGTTGACATTGTAATATGGCATGTGTGACCAGGTGAGTTGATAACTTACGTTGTCCTGTGTGACTCTGAGAGAAGATAACTTATGCGGTCATACATTACCGTAATTGCTGATGTTTAGTTTATGTTTACGGAGAGAGAATAGATTATACTACGGCTCCATCGTTACCGTGGTAAAAGCCGAATGATGGAAGGAAACGTAAATGAGGAAAAGCGGTAGGGTAGCCGAGTGTCAGAGTCAAAAGTCAGAAAGGTTTATTGTACAGAAGGCCTCTGACCCATATACAAGGGAGTATATACACATCATACTCTTACACACAGGAAGTCACAAGTTCTTTAAACAGTTCATTTCTTTTAACTAGTGCATGTTTAATATATAGTGAAAGGTTTAATATATGGGATTCGTTCTTAGTCGTTAAAATATATACGGAAGCGTATATACGAAAATAGGACTATATATATGAATGGCGGCATCCTATCAAATAATCTTTAATATATTTCTTTCGAAGGTCACTATAAAATGGACAGACGAACACAAAGTGAATTTCGTTTTCTATTTCTATATCGCATAACTGACAGATTCGTTTCGATTTTGCAATGGAATGTTTTCTTCCTTCATTTACAAAAAGTTCTAACAAACCAAGCCGATATTTAATCAAATGTTTCCTTAAATTTTCCGTCGTGAGTATTGGGATATTACTATGACTATGAGTCCCAGTCCACCCAGCTGTGAATGGGTACCTCGTAAGGATGGGAAAGTCACATTAATTTGGTGCGCCTTGTGGCTGCGGATCCAGGAATTTTCAAAGGTGTGTGTGTGTGTGTGTGTGTGTGTGTGTGTGTGTGTGTGTGTGTGTGTGTGTGTGTGTGTGTGTGTGTGTGTGTGTGTGTGTGTGTGTGTGTGTGTGTGTGTTAGTAAACACCCCACCCACCCCTGGATCCGCCAATGTCTGAGCTTACTGAGTATATCACAGCTTACTGAGTATATCACAGCTTACTGGGTATATCACAGCTTACTGGGTATATCACAGCTTACTGAGTATATCACAGCTTACTGAGTATATCACAGCTTACTGAGTATATCACAGCTTACTCATTATATCCTAGCTCGTAGATCGGCACAAATAAAACAGATCATCCAGTTGATATATACTCTGCTTTAAAGGGGCAACTTTTGTGTAGCCATACATCGGGAAAGTGTGTCGTAAATATGACTTAGGAGTTTAGTTGAACTTTTAACAACAGCCTTGACAGTCATGTTATCTGCCTTGACCGCCGTATGTCTGCACAATTTCACACCACCTTGGTGAGGTAATCAGAAAATCCACAGTTTCTTCAGCGTCAGTAAGTGTGTTGGCTATCTCTGGCATAGCGCGCGACCACATGCCACAAAGTTTCCATTGCAACAAGCCACTGCGCCGTGTGAACAAACACCTGTTGAAACACTGAAAACTAGGATGGAAATTCACAGAGTCCTTGAAAGTTAGTAAAATAGGTATCCGCCACAAATGTCAAACTTGGCATCCAAGACACCTTTGCCACCTCTGAATGCCGTTTTCAGATTAATGACTTTCTGAAAATGCGATACCACCATGAACAACGATGCTTGCTCAAATTAGCTTTCTAGTTGGACTTTCTGTTTGAAGTTCGATCTACCTCTTTCTAATGAAGTAGTGCGGCTACGATGCTGTTCCAAGAAAACTCCTGACACTGTCCTGCTACCTTGTTTCCTTGTATGTTGAATCGAAGCTGTATAAGAATTGTAATTGTTTTTTTTTAAACTCTTACGCATGGCGCGAAATTAACAGATCGCCGTATTAAACTGTCACAGACTACCATATATCTATGATTTAATACAGAGCTCAGTTGAAAAGGTTGGTACTTTAACTAGCCCCTGAATGCAACTTTCTCTTGTGATGTTTGCAGCACCAACAAAACACCATTGCATCCCAAAATCATGATTGAAGGCGTTAATCACAGAATGCAATTGCCAGAGACTTTGCTACATACACGTGTGACATCGTGACAGATGGAAGATATCGGCAAACAGAGACAACACTCGAACCGGATCGTAATGCATGTTACACTTGACCACTCTCTAAATGGCATTGTGTATTCATAGTTGTTCATTGCGGAAAAAAAGAAACGTGAAACAATCTGAAACATTTGCTGAAAACCAGGTGTGACCTCTTAACACACACACAACTGATAATGCGAGCATATTTGTAACAAAGATAAACAGCCACACCTAGGTTAAGTAAGATACAATGTAGCGTATAAATGTCAAACATTCAAAACGTCCTCATTGAAGATTTCAGTTTGTGTCCATGTACTTCAGGTATTCATCGAGAAGCATGGTGAAACTCTGGGTCTTGTTGTGCCTGGGAATAGTTCATGCAAGGAAGAATGTTTTGTTTTTGGTTTCGGATGATATGAGACCCAATATTGGTGCCTACGACGGACCAGATTACCCATCTCCAGTTCATCCAAAGATGCACACTCCGAATCTTGATGCGCTTGCTGCCAGATCCCTCTTACTCAAGCGAGCTTACGTCTCAGTGGCTTTATGCAGTCCAAGCCGGACGGCCCTCCTTACCAGCAGGCGCCCTGAAACAAGCCACATCTGGTGCATCGGACCTTACTTCCGGCAGTATGGAGGTAATTTCACTACACTACCCGAATACTTTAAACAAAATGGGTATAGGACCATCGGAATGGGGAAAATATTTCATCCAGGATCATCCTCCGGAGGTGACGATCCCGTTTCATGGACAGATCCCTACACCCATGCTGATGATGATTACATCAAAGCTGACAACGTCCTTATAGAAGCAGTCTCAGAGGAAAGAGCTAAAGCACGACCACTACAGGATCAACTTCTGGCCGAGTATGCCATCCAGGCAATTAAGGAGGTGGCCCCAAAAGGTAAATCGGGTGAGAAACCATTCTTTCTGGCTGTGGGGTTCCGTAAACCCCATATCACCTGGAACTTCCCTGCCCGCTTTAAGGAGTACTACCCTCTGGAAAGTCTGAGGCTGCCACCAAATTACTATGCTCCTGTAGGAATACCAGAAATTGCTTGGCACAGTTTCGTTAATCTGACTATTTTTAAAGATATGCAACCCTACCACGTGGCAGACACTGGTCATATTAACTTTACATTTCCCGACCAAATCACTCTTGAGATGCGACAAGCCTATTACAGCTGCATAAGCTACATCGACTATGAACTTGGAAGGGTCATTGCAGAGCTCGATAACCAGGGTCTGACTAATAATACCATAATATCCTTCTGGGGTGACCATGGATGGCATTTGGGGGAAAATGGTGAATGGGAAAAGATGACGAACTTTGAAGCTGCCACCCATGCTCCTATGATGATTCATGTTCCTGGAGTTACTGATCATGGTGTTGTCACCGAAAAAATCACTGAATTCGTTGATCTGTATCCTACGCTCGTTGAAGCTGCAGGTCTTCCTAAACTCGACATGTGTCCACCAAACTCTCAAAATGTCAGTCTGTGTACGGAGGGTACAAGCATGGTGCCACTTATGACAAACCCGACATTAGACGATTGGAAAAATGTAGCATTCTCTGAGTATTCCAGAGTAGGCAATGGAATAGAAACGGATTCAGTTATTGGTTACAGCATGAGAACTGAAGAGTATCGATACACGGAGTGGGTTAACTTCACGGCCATGCCAATCTATAAACCGCTGTGGGACCAGCAACTTGGAGCTGAACTCTATGACCACATGAAAGACCCAGAGGAGAACTATAACCGAGTAGATGATCCAGCTTACAAAGACCTCAGGGTTGAGCTGTCTAGAAACCTGAGGCTGGGCTGGAGAGGAGTTATCCCTCACAGACGCGTTTGAAGTCATCACCAGCAAATTGTTACCGTTCGAAACTTCTCGAGATAAAAATGATCCAAATACATATGTGTATTTTCCTTATGTTGTTCCCACTTACAATTAGGTGTGAATTCATCCTGAACTTCAATTGTCAGAATGAACAGAAGTTCATAAACTCACAGAGTGTTACCCTACCGTATACCGGGAAATTTTCGAGGTATCTATCTACAACAGCAGAGACACATGCATACATGCTTAGTTGTTAAGAAAACAATATCGACTGAGAGAAAAATGGCGTCATGTTTGAACTCTCCCGACAGAGTGTTTCATGGGTCATTTATCACAACAAAAGATCAAACGTTTGCTTTCATTACTATTATTGCTGCCATGGACTGGTATACCGGTAGTTATAACAGTCAGACGGCAGTTATCACTGGCTACTAGGAGTTTTGCCGATAGCTCAGTGAGTATTGGTCCGGTAAGTGATGTTTCTGGCCACTTTCTTCTAACCTCGAAATTAAAATTCTCTAAAATGTTTATATATTGTTGGTCCCCAAACCCCGAAATTTAAATCACCTCGAAAGCTCTGGGAGTCTCAAACCTTGAAATTTTAGTACCCTGAAAATTTCCCGGTATACGGAAATTTTTAATTTAACAAAACAACAAACCAACAACCAAAATGTCCAATTTTGAATTGCTTTGATACCTTATTTGATATGTCTGTGGTTACTATTGTGGCGGTGACATCTGCTGTTGTGTGAAATGGTGACAAACACATTGGTATAATTTCAAATGGATTCAAAGTGGGTTTTGATCTGGCAAAATATCAGAACTCACACTTCAGAGTAAAATTTCATTCCAACCACACACTGATTTCGTTCGTTGTGTAATACTACACTCAGTAATATTCAAGCTATGTAAAGGTGGTCTGTAAACAATCTAGTCTAAAACACATAATCCAAGAGCAGGAGCAACGATCTAAGCAATTGGGATGCCATGAACAGCATTGGATTTGTCCGGGGTTGAAGACAACAAACAAAATGAATGTTAAAATAAACCATAATCTTGCTTGCAGCACCGCAATTAGTCGTGATCATGACATCCCAATAGGATTTCCCTGTGACTGTGCCATGGACAATATAGACGGCACTTCGGCCAGTCAATGTGATACCGTCCCATGCCATGATGGACCAATGACCGAACTGATCATGCTGTACGATGCTGCTGTCCATAAGACTGATAATTAGACGCCATGAAAACTCCATTCTTTCGGTAATGGTCATCAAGAGTGAACCTCCATTAATATGGAAATACAAGTTGAAACCGATCTCGACTATCCCAGTTGTGATCTTCCCTACACCACTGACGGTGATTTATACTGTGTGCATTAAGTTTTGGTATGGTACATCTGTCCAGACAGTTTCTCCTCTCTGAGTTGTAATTTGCAACCAAGTTCAGTATTTTAAAACATTTCCTGCTGATTTGCATCAGTGAAAAACAAGTAAAACGTGTCTTTGATATTATGAAAAAGTGTTTAGGAACACCTAATATAATCTTTTTTACCATTTTTGCTTGCAAAGTAACATTTTTCCATTTTCTGTTTACACATAGCTATATCAATCGCCAAAACGTAGCTATATTCAGGCAGCATTTATTTATTATTTTATTAGTGGACATTTATATAGCGCACATATCCACGCACTATTTGCTTAAATTCCACGTGTAGAATGATTCTATAGGGTATAAAGAGATACTAGAATGTATGATATGATACACAAGTACAAGAAATAAGCCATGATTAACAGCTGAAGAGAGAGAAAGAGCCATTGGGATGGTGCAGATGGGGTCGACATACAATGCTGTTGCCAACGCCCTCGGATGCCACCGTATCACGGACTGATTCAGCGCAACAGACAGACTGGTGTCACCGTAGACAGACAAGAATCCACGCATCACAACGCCAGCTGAAGATAGGTCCCTTCGTTGTTAAGGAAGGAGGGTGACGTATGTTTTGGCGTTTAGTGTATATTATGTGCACTAAGTTTTGGTACTGTATATCTGCCCAGACAGTTTCTCCTCTCTGAGTTGTAGTTTGCAAGTTGTTAGTGCAGTCGTTCTGATTGATCTGTCCTGGGCTGGAGTTGTTGCCAAGGGCTCACCGAGTTTATCATTTCAAAATACTAACTCAAAATACTAAATACCGTGCAATGCATTAAGTCTTCCATCACAGCACACTTAGAGTCATATTATCAGGACCGACTAGTACATCATGATCGAAAATGCGTAAACTGTACACATAAGCATTATCACTTTTTTGAATAGCATTTTAGAAGTGGATGAGTAAACAGAAAGTTTGGGTGCTTTATGGATGACAACTACTGTTATATATAGTGAATAAGTTGTCATTCATGAAGTATCTTACCTTCCTCATTTTATGACCATTAATTAAGTACCATTTTATTTTAATTTTAATTTTTGGTCCAAAGAACGACCATACCCTAGCATATATGGAATGAACAGAATATCTGAAAAAGATATGGTTCTCATGTACTCATGGTGCTTAGCTGAGTGAGGCGTAAAACTAAACTCACTCACTCCAGCAATGAATGCCCATTTGTAGACCAACGCTATGGCCAGCAAGGAGAATCCCAATATGAATCCCATTGAACATCGTTGTGACTATCGAGCTAGAGATCCTACTGTTCAAAATCTGCATGGATTGACGCAGGCACTCTACTACACCATGCGACTGTTGTAACCTCCATTGAACATGCTGCCTGTTAACCCATTGCATACACTCATGTGTCTGTCAGTCAGAATTGGTCCAATGTAATGACGTCGAGCATGGAGCCCTACGGCTTGTTGACGGCGTCGCACGGTGTCGGCGCTGATGACCCCACGTCGACCTTGAACTAGTGCAACAATCCTGGCAGTTGGCAGCGTCCGATCACGGATATGGTCACGGACTATATGACGTTCCTGACGGGGCGTCGTGACACGTTGTTGCCAAGGTCGTGGGAGGTCACGGGTGCCGCCTCTCTGCTGATGTGGCTTAACGATGGCTACATCTATGTTCCTGCTCCTGGTGCCAACCTGAATCATGCCTAGAGCACGTGCGTTTTCCTGAGGTGTTAACCTCGGCATCTCTGTCCTCGTTTCATAATCGTTAGTGAAGCAATGAGAATCGTTTCTCATACACCTGCGTTTCAGGTCACAGTTATCACGATTTCTGAACGTAATTCGCTTTTTTCATGGCGTGGGCGCATGTTCTTACGTTTTGGAGTCAGGAACAGGATCTCGTTTCTAACACTGTTTTTCAAATAGACATGCTCTTCGACTTCATGTTAGTCACATTCATTGAAATCCATGCTGAAATCCATCGTGATGAATGGAGAATTTTAGAATGCTGGTGAGTATATATTGTTATGAGGAACTATCATGGAACCCTTATTCATCACACCAACCTTTAAATGCCAAAGAAGTCAATATAGCGTCGTGGAAAAGGTCTGATGGACAGCATCGTGGCTGTCACAGGTATTCGATTATCGACGTCAAGAACTTTCAAAGTAAAATTTTCACGTACCAAGTTTTTAAACGTAGTATTTTTGTTCTTTTACATTTCGGCTAAATTTTCCGACAATCGCCAGCGGCTGAAGGGATGGTGTAAATCCAGCTAGGCTCCATGCAGGTAGCAAAAGTAATGTAAGTCCCCATGGTTCCTAGTATGGTGATCTACCTTCAGATGCTGGCGATCTATAGCCCGTGTTTTATATTGTATTGTCTTCTTTAATTACACTGTTTTAGTTTTACATGCTAGTTTTATGTTCATATCTGTGATACTCTAGTATTTTTACTGTCCATCGTCGACAGGTTTAACTCTTCACAATGTTTTCATTTTTGTATTATATAAATTGTTTTCGTCACGATATGGCTGAGATATTGCCGATGTGACGTTAAATATTAACTCACACACTCACTCGACGTCAAAGATGCAAGACACGTTGAACATTTTGGGTCTGAAACTAAGCCGTCTTATGTGAGGAATGTCTTTGACTGTGGCTCATCATCACCATCAGTATTGGTGATGATACACTACGTTCATGTAGTGCAAATGTATCCGCTATACACGAGTAAAGTAACGTATTTGGAGGTACAAACGGTTGCAATTCAATACCCTGATAGGAACAACAACAGAAGCAGCAGCAAGGTCCCTGCTTTAACCATAACTGTTTCAGAATTAATGTCGCAGGATTTAAACTCGACCACTCGTCTGCTGTTACAACTCTTATTGTGCCATTAACCTATAATATGGAACTCACATAAAACCGGCTGTCATTGCCAACATGGCAGGTTTACAGTGAAACTGTCATTTTGACATTTAATACATGTTTACATGATTATCAAAGCTCATGGTTACTTAGCCTAACTTGTAATATTAAATATATTTACTATATGAATATACAGGGTTACACCTGACTAGTAAATATACTAGAAACTATTTTAAATATTAACACTTCATTCAACAACTGCATACTTGTAATATATAAATTGTATGAACCTGACAGCCATCGTCTGTCTGCTTCACAGACTACAGAAGCAGAATGTGTCAGAGCCCAGGATGTACCTGCTGGCAGTCAGCTCATCAGTATGGCAGCCTGCTGGGGACAAAAATAATTGTGAAATGAGCCAGGGGCGCTGTGCTACATGTGCAAATCTGTCACATCAACCTGTGACACCAATAAGAAAAAATGATCAAAAACGAAACTCATCAACATACAATATATACTTGAATATATGTCTACTCAATAAGAAAAATAAGGCTCACATTTTCAAAGTGATAAGAACTTTCGTCAAAAGATATTCCAGCAACAACACATTTTAGAGTCAAAATGCACACCCTATCATAGCTATCATATCACTTTGTTGGCACATTTCATACAATGTCATGTAAAATATGTTTACTAAACAATGTTTCATCAGTCAAGCTTTTAAAAGTTTCTAAAATTGTCGTCCATAAGAAAATGATACCTGATGCAATTCCCTACTTTGACTTGGACTATAAGTTCCTGTGTTTGTTTGTTTGTT